ATCAGCTGATCCTCAGAAACCCTATACAGGGTCACTGTGAGTCAGAACCGACTTGACGGCACTTCACAACATATGTATACGTTGTTTCTGAGGAGTGACTTGTGAGCTTGAACTGCCAACCTTTCAGTTCAAGCTGGCTTTGCAGTTCAGCATATTATCCCACAGTGCCACATCAGAGAAGTTTATTATCAAGGAAATGGCTTAAAACTATGGAGTCCCAGGTCCCCAGAGGATGAGAGAGAGAGAGCCTTTCCTATATGTTCATTATTTTGGGAGCAGGCCACACCCCAAAGGAAACATCCTTTCAATTGATCGGCTGCTCATGACCACTCATCATAGTTAACTATGCCTGTGTTGTTTCATCACCATGGGAATAAGCGCATCTTAACTGGGAATCCTGGCTTACTCAACTTGACTGAGAACCATAACTATTACAATGCATCGTGGATAGGCTTCACTATATGTTGCTTAGAATGGGGAGAGACCATGAGTTGTACCTTAGGTGGCAGTTCACACGTGTTTGAGACCTCAGTCACTACTCACCAAAGGAGGATGTAGAACATTGTCTTTTGGGACTAAATTATGCCAGTTGACCTTGATATGCCCTGAGACTGGTCCGGAGTCCTTCAGCACTGCAAGGTGTTCAGTTATGGCTAAGAAGTTGTCATAACTTTGTCCCCTGTGTCTACTATATTCATGGGTTTATTTGTAGCACATATAAATATGTATATAGAAATGTCCTCTGTTAAACCTATTCCCACTCCTGTTTACTTTGTAGTGCTGTGGGCTAATGCGTCAGACTGTAAAGTTGTTTGAACTGCAAGGGCGGTGGTTCCAGCTCACCAGCCGCTCCTTGGAAACCCTATACAGGGTCGCTATGGGTCAGAATTGACTCGACGGCATTTAACAACAACAACTCAAGACTGTTATTGCTAATATTGTCTGATTGTAACAATGGTATGGAATAGTAATAGTATTTACCTCTATTGCCTTAAATTCTTAACTCCCATTGTCTTCCTTTGCCTTGATCTTCCCCTTAGTGTTTATTGCCTTTCACTACATCCAAATCAATATGTGGTGTGGTACTGCGGGTTAATGTGCTAGACTGCAAGGTTGGTTTGAACCACAAGGTCAGTGGTTCAAGCTCACCAGTCACTCCTCGAAAACCCTACACAGGGTTGCTATGAGTTGGCACCGACTAAATGGCACTTAACAACAATAAGGACCCTCTAATTAGTGATTTAAGGAGCTCTGGTAGCGTAGTGGTTACGAATTGGGCTGCGAACCTCAAGGTCAGCAGTTCGAAACTACCAGCTGTTCTGCGGGAGAAAGATGAGGCTCTCTGCTCCTGTAAAGATTTACAGCCTCGGAAACCCTGTACAGGGTCGCTATGAGTCAGAACCGACTCCATGGCACATAACAACAACAACAATTAGTGATTTATCCTCCTTTCCCCTCCCATATCTGGTAAGCTTCAAAGAATGTTTTTGTGTATGTGTGTGTGTAAACCTTTTCTTGACTTTTTACAGTTGTGGTCTCGTACAATATGTGTCCTTTTGTGATTGACTAATATCACTCAGCAAAATCTAGTCCATGTTCATCCACGTTATGAGATATTTGGCTGATTCATTATTCGTTAACATTGCAAAGTACTCTAGTGTGAGTATATGCTATAATCAGTTGATCCATCCATCTATTGATAGGCACGTAAGCTGTTTCTGTCTGGTCATTGTTGTGGTTAGTGCTCTGATGAATATGGGTGTGCATAGGTCTACTTGTTCTGTGGCTCTTATTTCTCTAGAGTGTGTACTAAGTAGAGGGAGTCCTGGTGTGCTACTGTAGAATAAGCACTGGACTGCTAACCACAAGGTCAGCTGTTCAGACCCAACAGCCATTTAACAATAACAGCACAACAAGAGCAATTACTGGATCATATGATCATTCTACTTTTAACGTTTTAAAGACATACCATACCATTTTCCACAATGGTTGAACCATTTTATAGACCCACCAGAAGTGTATGAAGATTCCAGCCTCTCCATAAACTTGCCAGCATTGTTTCTTTTTAAAAAACTTTGCTTTTAATGTGATGATACCTTATTGTTGTTTTGATTTGTGCTGTGGGTTAATGAGCTGGACTACAAGGTCAGTTTGGATTAGAAGGTCAGCAGTTCAAGCTTACTAGCTGCTCTCAGAAGCCCTATGAGTTGGAACTGACTCAACGGCACTTCACAACACCACAACAACAATGGCTAATGATCACAAACATTTCTTCACGTGTTTTTTGGCCACGTGAATGTCTTCTTCAGTAAAGTGTCTGTTCATGTCCTCCACCTATTTTTTGATTGGATCATTTGTCTTTTTGTTATTGAGGTGTTGATGTTGTCTATAACTTATCTGACAAATCATTGTCAAAAAATGTTTCCTAGTCTGTGGGCTCTCTTTTAACTCTTCAGTAAAATCTTTAGGTGTCTAATTTTTAGTCATCTACTGTTTGTGTATTTTTCAGCCATGTTTGATAGTGTAGTTATAAGAGTGTTTCAAAAAGTTTGTGGGAAAATGCCATTTGTACACAAACTTATTGAAGCCTCTTTCTATGCCATGTATTAGGACAGCTCAGGTTGCTCCTAGTTTGTCTTTGATCATCTTTATAGTTTTAGAGTTCACATTTAGATCTTTCATCCATCTTGAGTTTGAGATGGATCGGTATGAGGTATGGGTCACACCATCCAGTTATACTGAATGGCCATCCAGTTATATGAACACCAGTTGTAAAAGCACCTATCTCTTCCCAACTTAGTGAGTGTAAGTGTATAGATATTTATTGTAACTATGTCCTCTTGGTTGCATTGGCCTTTTAATCATTATATAATGTCCTTCCTAGTCTCTTTGGTTGGTTTTTGCCTTAAAGTCTGTTTTATCAGAAATTACTATTGCCATTTGCTTGATATACTTTTTTTTCCAACCTTTGATTTTTAGCCTGCTTTTGTCTTTCTATCTAAGATGTAATAGTGATGGGTCAAGCTTTCTTATCTATTCTGCTACTCTCTGTCTCTTGATGGGTGCACTGAATCCTTTTATATTCTTGATGTCTTACTCTCAGGTTGTTATGTGCTGCTCTTGGGTCTCTCAGAAGGATTCTCTTTTGCATTTCTTGTAAGGTTTGTCTGATTTTCACAAACTCCTTTAATTTCTATTTATCTGGAACTAGAATTTAAACATTAAAGCACACACTCTTCTATGCCAAGAAATTTGGAAGACAGCTACCTAGCTAGCTGACTAAAAGAGCTCCATATTTGTGTCCATTCCAAAGAGAGGTGACCTAAGGGAATCATCAGATAATATCCATATTGCATGCAAGTAAAATTTTGCTAAAGATAATACAAAAACAACAGTAACCATACATTGACAGAGAACTTCCAGAAGTTGAAGCCAGATTCAGAAGAGGATGTGGAATGAGAGGTATCATTGCTGATGTCAGATGAATCTTGGCTGAAATCAGAGAATACCAGAAAGATGTTTACCTGTGCTTTATTGACTATTCAAAGCCTTCCATTATGTGAATTGTGACAAGCTATGGACATCACTGAGGAAAATAAGTGTTACAGAACACTTAATTATGCTCATGATGAACCTGTACACAGACCAAGAGGCACACTTAATTGTGCTTACAAGGAACCTGTACATAGACCATGAAGCAGTTGTTCAAACAGAACAAATGAACACAGAATGGTTTAAAATTCAGAAAGGTGTGTGCCAGAGTTGTTTTTTTTTTCCACCATATTTATTCAATCTGTATGCTGAGCACATAATATGAGAAGCTGCATTATATTAAGAAAATTGGAGGAAGACTCATTAACAACTTGTTATATGTCCATGATGCAACCTTGCTTGATAAAAATAAAGAGGATTTAAATGTTTACTCATGAAGATCAAAGGCTACAGCCTTTGGTATGGTTTACACCTCAATGTAAAGATAACAAAAATCCTCACCCCTGGACCAATAAACAACATCCGTATAAACGGAGAAAAGATTGAAGTTGTTTACCTGTGCTTTATTGACTATTCAAAGCCTTTCATTATGACAAGCTACGGACAACACTGAGAAAAATGAGTGTTCCGGAACACTTAATTATGCTCAGGATGAACCTGTATAAAGACCTCAAATGCTGTTTCTAAAGACACATTTCAAAAATGTTTGAGAAATTGCTGGACGATTTGTGATTTCTTGTGTGCTTGCTCCCTGCTCTGTGTACACACACCCCCAACCTAAGTAAAAGTACCCAGACTTTCCATCCTAGAGTAAAAGATCCATTCTTACATTCAGTATATGTGTTGTTGTTGTTAAGTATTATCGAGTTGGTTCTGGCTCATGGTAACCCCATATAGGGCTTCTGAAGAGCTGCTGGTGGGTTTGAACTACCGACCTTGTTCAAAATGCCTGATGGTCCAGTGATTATCCTACAGCACCACACTAAGACTTCTCAATAGATATACATATCTGTTAACATGTATTAATATACATATCTATTAATACATACCTATTAATTATTATATATAATTAATATACATATCTATTATACATATAATTGATTATATGTGCAATATTTTATGTGTAATTATATGTATAATTATACATATAATTAATATACATATCTATTAATATGTATTAATATGTTAATAAAATAGACAGGAACAACTGATGTAGGTGATATGGGTAAGTGCTTCATTTCTGTTCTAAGACATGGTGGGAAATCTCTTACAAATAACATGTTTGTTACCTCAGAGATGAATTTTCTGTCTGAAAATCTGTTTTTCTTAGCCTGTTATGGTACTCTTTATTCAGAGGTTAAATGTGCATCCCTAGACTTACATTTGCAGTTAGAAGATACTCTTTGATCATCACGTTCACGACTGAGCTAGACCCTTTGCAGTGGTGGTGTGGGTAGAGGTATGGCAATGCATGGGGAATAAAACGGTGTCTACTTTTTATTTACCAGGTGGTTGCGACACTGGGAACCACGTCTTGCTGCTCATTTGATAATCTATTAGAAGTGGGTCCTATCTGTAAGTATCCTATTAAATTGTCTTTTGAAAAATTCTCTCACGTGGGGAATTTAGATCTTCCTCTTTAGGCTTTCTTCCTCCTTTTCATTAAATTAATATCGTGATAGATAGTATGCCAAACTCGTTTTGTGTGTGTGTGTGTGTGTGTTGTTTTTTGTTTTTTGCAATAACAGAAACCTCTTTAGTTTGAGTTCTACAAACTAGGAATTTAGACAAATTGGACAGGAGCTGAGTTTTTCTGTTTGTTTTTTTTTCATTTTCAGTTGCCATCAAATCCACTCTTTCTAATGGTGACCATATGTTTTATAGGATTTTCTTTGATTGATGCTTCAGAATTATATAAGTGGGCCTTTTTACTGAAGCGCCTCAAGAAGGATTCAAATTTCCAACTGTTTGGTTAGCAGCTAAGCATACTAACCATTTATACTACCCAGTGACTTCTGAGCTTAGTTACAGCAACACTCCATTCCTAAGACAACTTTGCCAGCAATTTTAAAGTGCTATGAAATTACAAGGGGATATTTTTGTTGTACCAAAAATAACAAACTTTTCAAAACTGTACATTGAGTACCCTCATATACATGAAACATTGTTGTCATTAAGTGTTATCAAGTCAGCTCCGACCCGTAATGACCCTGTGTAGAGTTTCCAAGGAGCAGCCGGTGGGTTTGAACCATCAACCTTGCAGTTCAAACAAACTTTGCAGTCCAGTGCATTAACCCACAGAGCCATACTAGGACTCCAATACATGATATGGTGATGGTGATGGTGGTGGTGTGCCGTGGAGTCGGTTCTGACTCATAGCGACCTTGCATAGGGTTTCCGAGGCTATAAATCTTTACAGGAGCGGAAAGTCTTATCTTCCGCCTGTGGAACAACTGGTAGTTTCGAACTGCTGACCTTGAGGTTAGCAGCCAGACTCATAACCACTACGCTACCAGAGTTCCTTAATACATGATATTTTTGTTGTTGTTGTTATGTGCCGTGGAGTCAGTTCCGACTCATAGCGACCCTGTACAGGGTTTCTGAGGTTGTAAATCTTTACTGGAGCAGAAAGCCTCATCTTTCTCCCGTGGAACAGCTGGTAGTTTCGAACTGCTGACCGTGATATTAACAGCCCGATTTGTAACCATTATGCTACCAGAGGTCCTTAATACATGATACAGGAATGATTTATTCTTGGATTTAGTCTCCTGGTCTATTGTTTTTAGCCTTTTTCAGAATTACGTAAGGTAATTAAACAAATCAACATAACTTTTTTTTTCCCAAAAGACCATCTCCCACAGAAAAGATGTTTAGGTTTTCTCAAAGAAACTAGAATTTTTCTGGGGTTTCAGAAGGTAAAACCACAAAAAAACTACTTTTATTGCATTACTAAAATTTTGTCTTTTACAAGTGGCTCTGGAGACTCACGAGGTCTTGGGAGAATTTCTGTGGATGAAAACACTTATGAAGGAAGGCACCTGGGATCATGAAATCCCCCCTCCCTCTCTGTAGCTCCTAGAATAGGGCTTCTTGGACATTTCTGATGAGTGAGGACAGAGTGGGGTTTTCTGGCATACCTGCTTCCAGCTTTCCACTGGAAAGACCCTGATGTTAAGTGAAAGCCACCTGGCTCTTAGGCCTGTGTCTATGACCCTGTGTAGAGTCTACATAGAGCGCTCAACTGTTGATCCAAATGCTGAGCATGTTCTCATCTCTCCTAACCAAGCAATCACCAGTTCTCCAGACGCAGAGGAGAGCTCCCTTTTCTGCTGGGCCATGGCCTTCAATTCCCAGAGCCAAGAGCATGACGGTATGAGCTGGGCAGGCACTAGTGACAGGAAAGCTATGGCCAGGCCCAGACTCACCACTTAAAGCTGTATGCTTTAAAGTCTTAGAGTTTCATTTTCCCTCAGTATAAAATGAAGGGAAAAACAACCGTTGTAATTGTAAAGTAATCACCTTGCCCTCCAAGGACTATTCAGAGGATAAAGTTAATGCCTGAAAAAATGTACTATGCAAAAGGTGGTATATTGCTTGTGTCCCAGGTGACACTATAACCAGCATCTAAGATACGTGATTTGCTTTCCAGAGCAAGTGTAGGCGTGTTTACCAGTTCACACATGCTTTCACTTTAGCATCTATGGCCTGTGACAGATGTTTGTAAGAAAAACTGGCTGAACATGGTGCAGGGGCCAGGTCTGCAGGAAGGTACAGAGTTATCCATGGGTTACTGGCTATGGTGTTGGCCTCATTCGCTGCAAATTCCTATCACCTCTGCCAGACAGCTTCAAGTCCTCCCTGACTCCGATGTCAGGCTAAGGACTAAATGTCCTGGCTGGCATTCAGCTGATGCAATTCCCCATACTCTTGTGTTTAACTAAAGTGCTTAAGTTTTCTGCAGGACAGAGTCCATTTGGCCCCTGCTTCCCCGAGTCAGCTCTAGCTGCCCACCAGAAAGATCAGGAAGGTGACAGCCATTGTGCATCTTCTTGGGCTCAGGGTCTTCTGCTGTCCTGGTCCCTCCTTTGCTTCCTGAGGCTGGAGACTGTGGATAGAGATTAATTTGTAATGTGTTTGGTGCCAAATACAGAGGCTATTTTGGAGTTATGCTGAAGAAGCCTGCATGGCAAATGCCAAAAACCTTTCATTCACTGCCAAAATCTGTAACTGAAGTTAATTTTGACAGTTGCATTTAGTTATCATTGACAACCATCTAAGTAGCCATTGAAAGAGCCTTAAGAGTTAAGTGAGAGCCTTTTAGCCAACATTCCCTTATCTGATACCATTTATGTGACTGTTTCTAAATATGTAGTAGTCTTCCAATTTTAACACAACTGTTCTGAGATCCTAAAGACCGTAGTCTTTAGTCTGTAATAAACCATTAAAAGGATTCAGAAGTGTTTCCACCCACAATCATCTGACAGGAGATGGTTTTCCGCACATTGCTACTTTAAGAAAGATTTTTTCTGTTTTGTGCTCTTTAATATGTTTTGCCAAAAAGACTTTAAATTTGTCACTTAGATCAATTAATTGCTTGACTGACTTTTTTTTAGAAGAGGATGAGATATAAAAAAAGCAGATTACTGCAATCAGTTAGGTCTAAGAATGGAGTGAGAATGCCAAGGATGGCTACACATGGCCAACAAGAGAAGCTTAGTCCACTTAGAAGGGGAAGCAGGACCAAGCTGGACAGGGAGGCTTTGTCCTGAGGAGACCAAGGCTGGGAGGGTAATGGAGATCACCCCTTCCTTCTTGAATACATTTAAAATGCTGTCTCTTGAGATGGCTTTTTGTACTCCAAACTGAGTGTATCTCATTTGGGAGCACCGCCATTCCCCCTGGGTCACCAGTTTTACCTGCTTCCTCTCTATACCTGTATTATTCCTTAGGGACTAGCAGTAGCTTTGCCATTGCTGTTGTTGGGTGTTGTTGGGTCAGTTACAACTCATTGCAACTGCATGTGACAGAGTAGAACTCCTCCATAGTGTTTTCCAGGTTGTAATCTTTGTGGGATCTGATCAGCAAGTTGGGAATTGCTGGGTAGGTCTCAATGGTCATTTAGCAGCTGCACATCATCTGTGGCACCTTCAGTGCCCCTTGGTTTCACCGTTGGCAGATTATATACAAGATAGAGTTCCAGAAGTGGGCTCAAGTGTTCCTTCACTTCTGCTGGAACAAGGTACACCCTGTGGAGCCACTTTTGGTGGCATCTGTAAGTTTGGATGTCCCTGGTGTTCTTTTCCCCTTCTTTGATAAGGTCCCTTAGTCTTTTCCACCTCCTGACCCTCCTAGGTCTCTGATGCATCCTGAAATGGCAGCAGGGACCAAGCCATGAGGTGCAGATCTTGTGTTTGGCTCCATCCTGGATGTTAAGAGTCAGATCCTTTTTCTGATGTAAGTCCTGGTGAAGACACAGTTACACTGGTGTGTTGTAGTGCTAAATGACCAAATAGTCCCTCCTCCCAAGATAGTGGATAGTTGTTAATTGATGTTGTACAAGCTTTAACTCATAATAACCCAATGCACATTAGAACAAAATATTGTCTGGTCATGCACCATCTTCATGATTCTCAGTATGGGAGGTGGGAGCTGAGTCACAGTTAGGTCTGAATTGAGGCATCACACTTAAAGTAAGACTCGGTCCCTGCCCTCAAAGCTATTACAGTACGGTTGGAAAATAAGAGCCACAGGCGTGAAAAGAACACAGAATTCAAGATGGTAAAAACTCAAGGGTTAGTCCTTTTAAGAGTAGGGATGGTGGAGGACTATGGTACACTAGAGTGGGAAATGTGCCTGATCCTTCCTAAAACTATATTTATAAGAAGAAACTTTTAGAATATGTTAGCTAAGTTGATGGAGTGGACATGGGGTGCGGGTATAGGGAGTCCCAGATGGAATGAGGGACACCAGAAAAAGGTGATGTCACTAGAATACAGCCTGGAAAAGTATGCATGATGGAGTTACAGGGGAATTTTAAAGTATACAGAGCTATGAGGATCCGTTTTGAACATCAAAGGGCACAACTGATTCAGTTTCTGTCATTTTCCAAGCATCACTGAGCACCTGGTATGTACCAGGCATTGCCTGGGCACACAGAACACAACCTTCTCCTCAATCTCATTGCCTTAAGTCTTCTAGGGATCTGGGGGTGGGGAGCAGGTGTCAGACTCCACATGAGAAGGGCACTATTTGAGAACTCATGAGTGGTTCCTGAATTCCAGGTAACCAGGAGAATGTGTGGCTGCACATTGATGCTGCCTACGCAGGCAGTGCCTTCATCTGCCCTGAATTCCGGCATCTTCTGAATGGGGTAGAGGTGAGTAGACTCTTTGACCTTTACTGAGGTTATATTTTAAAGCACTTAGTCATCAGTAACATTTCAAAAGACTGTGACATTTGACATTTCATTGTGGTGGTTTGTTTCTGCAAATTGTTCTCAAACCATTTCTTCTGATTATTGGAAATTGTCCATCCTCATGACAAGGGTTGAGAATCTTGCCCAGTCACACAACCTGCATTCTACAAAAACCCCTTATGTTTAGAGCTATTAATGTGACTAAATAAATTCTGGGCAGAAATTATATGATAGGATAAATTTTAACATGTAAAACTACGGGGGAAAAAAAAGGATCATTATCCATTTAGTTCACAAAGCAAGTCTTGAAAAATTAAGATTGAAATCAGAGGAAGTTATTTTCTCTATCAACAATGGAGTGAAGCTCGAAGTCAACAACAACAACAACAAAACCCCTGAGAAATACACAGACATGGACACTATGGACACTAAACAACATACTATTAAGCTACCGATGGTTCAAGGAATAAATCAAAAGACAAATCACAAATTTCTTAAAGTCTAATGAAAATGAAAGCATAACATACCAAAATTCATGAGACACAGCAAAGACAGTACTCAGAGAGAAACTTATAGTAATCAATGCCTTAAAAAGGGAAGAAAAATTGGTAGTTAGGAAATAAAGTCTTGATGATAGAAATGGTGCTGGAGATCACATGATAGACAAATTTGCATGAACAATGACTTATTCATTGCAAATACCTTTTCCAACAATATAAAAGGACCTCAACTTCTAAAATACAAAGGCATCAGATTGACTACATCTGTGGGTGGGAGCAATGAAGAAGCTCAATACCACTATGCAAAACAAGGCTGACTGTGGAACAGACCATCAATGGCTCATATGCAAGCTCAGGTTGAAACTAAGGAAAATTAAAACAATTTCATGAGATCCAAATTATGACTGAATATTGTTGTTAAGTACCACTGAGGCGGTTCTAACTCATAGCAACCCTGTATAGGGTTTCTGAGAACTGGTTGGTGAGCCTGAACTGCCGGCCTTGTGGTTCAAACTGACTTTGTGGTCCAGTGCTTATCCTACAGTGCCACACCAGGACTCCCACCTGAATTTAGAGACCATCTCAAGAACAGATTTGAGGCAGTAAAGATTAATGATGGAAGTTCAGAAGATCAGTGGGATGACAACACCACCACAGATGGACAACCCTACAATAATAGTTGTTGTTAAGTTCTGTCAAGTCAATTCCAACTCATAGTGACCCTGTATAAGGTTTCTGAAGAGCAGTTGGTGGGTTTCAACTTCCAACTTTGTGGTTTGCATAACAGTGCTAATCCTACAGCGCCACAACAGAATAATAGCAGAAGATTTTAATACACCATTTTCAATGAAGGGCAAAACAAGTAGAAAGAAATTAAGAAAAGACACAGAAGAACTAAACAACACAATTAACCACCTTAACCTCATAAACCTATATAGAGCATTCAATCCAACAACAACACCATATATATTATTTTCTAGTGCTAATGGAACATTCTTCAGAATAGACCATACATAAAGTCACAAAACAAGCCTCAATAAAATTTAAAATATCAAAATACTGCAAAGCATCTTCTCAGAGGACAACACTATAAAATTAGAATTCAATAGGAAGAGCAAGGGAAAAAGTCAAATACATGGAAATTGACAAATGCCCTGCTTAAAAGTGACTAGACAACAGAAAAAATGAAATATATAAATTTCTTGAATCAAAAAAGAATGAAAACACAGCCTACCAGAAACTTTGAATAGAAGTGCTAAAAGGGTAATTTATAGCAATAAATGCTCACATCCAAAAAGAAGAAAGAACAAAAATCAATACTTTTAACCCAATTTATCTCGAACAATCTGAAGAAGAGCAGCAAAGTAGTCTACAGTCACCAGAAGAAAATAAATAAATAAATGAAATTAAAAAAACAATAAATGAAATCAACAAAACTAGAAGCTGATTCTTTGAAAGGATTACTAAAGACAAACAAACAAATGAAAACACTGGCAAATCTAACAAAAGAACATAAAAGATGAAGAAGATACAAATAGTATGAACAAGAAATTATTTGAGTGATGTCACAACAGAACCAATGGAAATAAATAGGATAATAACAGATTACTATGGAGAATTATATTCCAACATATTTGAAAATCTAGAAGAAATGGACTTATCTCTAGGAACACACTACCTACCTAAACTACCACAGACTGAAGTAAAAAACTTGAATAAACCAATAACAAAAGAAGAAATTGATCCAGTCATTAAAAATCTCCCAATTAAAACAAGTCTGGGCCCAGGCACATTTACCACTGAATTCCACCAAACATCTAGGGAATATTGTTGTTGTTATTAGGTGCCATTGAGTCAGTAATGACCCATAGCGACCTTATGCACAGCAGAATGAAACACTGCCTGATCCTGGGCCAACCTCACTACTGTTGCCACACTTGAGTCCATTGATGTTGCCACTTGGCCAGTCCATTTCGTTGGGGGTCTTCCTCTTTTTTTCTGACCCTTTGCCTTACCAAACATGATATTCTTCTCCAGTGATTCCCTTCTGATGATATGTCCAAAGTATGAGAGACGAAGTTTGGCCATCTTTGCTTCCAAGGAGCACTCTGGCTGCACTTCTTCCAAAACAGATCTAATGGTTCTTTTGGCAGCCCATGGCACTTTCAATATTCTCCTCCAACACCATAGCTCAAAAGCATCAATTCTTCTATGATCTTCCTTATTCACTGTCCAGCTTTCACATGCATATGAAGTTATTGAAAATACCATGGCTTGGGTAAGGCACACCTTAGTTCTCAAGCTGACATCTTTGCTCTTCAACACTTTAAAAAGGTCTTGTGCAGCATATTTGTCTAACACAATATGTTATTTGATTTCTTGACTGCTGCTTCCGTGACTGTTGATAATTGATCCAAGAAGAATGAAGTCCTTGACAACTTCAATCTTTTCTCCATTGATAAGAATGTTGTTTATTGGTCCAGTGGTGAGGATTTTTGTTTTCTTGACGTTGAGATGTAATCCATTAGGATTTTTGTTTTCTTGACGTTGAGATGCAATCCATACTGAAGGCTGTGTTCCTTGATCTTCATCAGTAAATGTTTCAAGTCCTCTTCACTTACAGCAAGCAAGGTTGTATCATCTGCATATCACAGGTTGTTAATGACCCTGCAGACAAGTGCTTATCCTATAGCACCAAAATGCTAGTCAATAGTTTCCAACAACATGAAAAAAAAAAATTTCATGGCCAAGTTGGATTAGGTATGCAAGAATGATTCAGTATTCGAAATACAAGCAACGTCATCCACCACATAAATAAAATAAATGAAAATAACCATGTAATCATATTGACTGATTCAGAAAATCTGTTAGACAAACTTCAGCACCCATTCCTGATAAAAACACTCAACAAAATAGAAATAGAAATAGAAGGGAAATTCCTCAACATAATCAAGGGTATATACACAAATTCATCAGCCAACACTACTCTCAACAGAGAGAAACTGGAAGCCTTCTCCTAGCAAACAGGAGCCCAGTATGAGTGCTCTCTATCACCACTCGTATTCAGTATTTTGTTAGAAATCTTAGCCAGAGCTGTCAAACCAGAAAAAGAAATTAAAGGCATCCAAACTGGCAAAGAAGAAATAAAACTCTATTTGTAGATGATATTATACTACACATAGAAAATCCCAAAGACTCAGCAAGAAAATTATTGGATCTCATTGAAAGATTCCTCAAAGTGGCCAGAGTACAAGATCAACATACAAAAATCAGTCAGATTATTCTATATTAATAAAGAGAGCTCTGAAAAGGGAATCAGGAAAACAGTACTATTTACAATATTCATCCAAAAGATAAAATATTTAGGAAAAAATCCAACCAGAGAAACAAAAGACCTATCTATACAAAGAAAACTACAAAATGCAACTACAAGAAACCAAAAAAGACCTTCAGAAATGGCAGAATATATCATGTTTATGGATTGGAAGTCCTAACATTGTGAAAATGTCAGCACTACCCAAATAGATCTATAGATAGAATTCAATCCCAACCCAGATTCCAACATAATTCTTTAAAAAGATAGAAATATGAGTCACTAACTTTATATGGAAAGAAAGAGTCTCTGGATAAGCAAGCCAAAGTAGGTAGTTTCTTACTTTCTGATCTTAAAACCTACTATACAGACACAGTAGTGAAACAGTCTGGTACTGGTACAATGAAAGATATGCAGCACAATAGAACAGAATCGATAACCCAGAAGTAAATCCATTCACCTATGTCAGCTAATCTTTCACAAAAGGCCAGATCACATGAAATGGGGAAGAGCTAGTCTCTTCAACAAACAATGCTGGCAAAACTGGAAATCCATTTGCAGGAGAATGAAACAAGACCTATATGTCACACTATATAAAATAATGAACTCAAGGTGGATTAAAGATCTAAATGTAAAAACTAGAACTATAAAGATTATCGATGAAAAAATAGGGGCAAACTCATGGACTCCGATATATGGCATCAACCAAAAGATTTCACCAAAAGAGTAAAAAAAGAACCCACAGATTGGGAAAACAAATTTGGCAATGACATATCAGACAAGGCACTAATCTCTAAAATTTATAGATATTTAAATGAATGTATAGTTTTTTTATTTTTTATGTGTTCCCCCCTAATACCTATCTACTGCTTGGCTGAAATTTGAATCATGTGGGTCCGTTCAGTTCCAGGCCTGAAGAGTGACCAAGGCCCATAGACTTGAGTCACTGCAGTCTCTTTCTAGTCATATTTATAATGTTGATTTTGGTTAACCATTTCTACCACTCATCTAGGACCTTCTAATTTGATTGATCCCTTTCAGAAAAGTTGGTAGTGATAGCCAGGAATCATCTAGCTATGGTCTCAGGGTCATGGAGACTGATCCTCATGTGTCCATTGGACTGTCTGGTTCCAAGCATCTTCAATTTT